CTCAAAAATTACGCGAATGAAGTTAATGCAGAAAAGAAGCATAGAGACTTTGACAAATAAAATGAAGAAATTTGATGAGAAATAATGGATGCCTCTTCCCGAAGACTCTTGCAAGATCAATATTGCTGGAGCTTTTGATGTCAGTAGTGGTAATGCTGCCTGCCGATGGTATTATTATCAGAAATTTCAGAGGATCTCTATTTAAATAAAGATTATTAATTGTTCAACATTTACCAATTTTATTTTTATCAGCAAAAAGAAATTTACTGAAAGGGGTACAAGCCGTACCCCAACACAGAAACAAGTTATGGAATCATTAATTTATTATACATACAAGAATTTATATAGCTGACAAAACTTTTAAAGCTCCAAAAACCCCATATCGTGCTTTCGCTATTTCAGATGCACTTAAAGAAGGGAACAGAAACCAACTTGCAAAATCAAAATCTCTGGCACTTCCCTCTAATCCATTCAAAAGATCTCATCTGAATCAGTTACACAAGTCTGTATTCCTAACAACCCAAATGCTCCAAAGGTATGCTAACATGAGCAAACAAATTAAGTGTACAAGCATTCTCATGAAATAAACACAAAACACGCACTGTAAACTAACTTGATCCAAGAAAATACCTCTTCTTAAAAGGTTCAACATGTAAGATATGATATTAAATTTTTATTCTATTTTATTAAATTATGAATTAAACAAATAAAAATAGTGATGAATTACAAATCATTAATTAATGCACCCATAACACACAGAAAACTCTATCATAAATTAAGTTTTAGAGATATTATAAAAAACCAAAAAAGATATCTAAGACGTAAATTTCAAGAACAACCCGAGCACCACAACCCATGAATTCATACTATTATCTTAAAAATCCATCGCCGATTACTGAAAATTATTTTTTATTATATTAAAAACAAATTAATCAAACAACTGCAAATTAGTATGTAGGTGCAAAAACTAAAAAAAAATTAGGAGATGGGTGGCAGGGAAAAAACCAAAAAAATAAAAAAAAAAAAGAAAAAAAACTAACCGGCCTCACTTCTGTATGGTTTAGTCCCCTTCCCTCCCGAATTGGGAATTGATTTGATTCACGATATCTGTTGGGCATTTTAACAAACAGTTTATCTCCAATGAAGAGGAAACCCTGTACGTCAATTCTGCCTTTTGCGGTTCCTTTCTCTTTTTTTCTTTTCAACTACAAATTCCTTAATTTTCTTCCAATGAGGCCCATCTATCTTAGCTGGCTCATTCCATTGTCTTAAGCTGCGTTTTATTCTTTCTCAACTGCGTTTTACTTCCTTTTAACCAGCCGGCCCATTCTATAAAAGCGGCTTAATTTTATAAGTAGTTTATTAATTATAAATTTTTATTCTAACTCAAAATTTTTATTTTCTTTAAAATTCATTCATTAACTTTGAAAATTATTTTACTCCACGTAACCCTGCGTTAACAAATTTCTCAAATGGTGCACATTAACTGCCACTTGCAAAGCCACGTGGCATGAGCAAATTTCACACCTCATTAATTTCCTTTATATATATTTTTGTCACTATTTTT